AATCTTTCCCAGCATTAGGCCCTTCTTCAGTGAGTCCTTCCTTCTCATTAGGTGGCCAAAGTCTTTGAGTTTCAACTTCAGGATCTGGCCTTCTAAAGAGCAGTTAGGGTTGATCTCTTCTAAGACTGACCAGTTTGAATGCCTTGCAGTCCAAGGGACTCCATACATTGCAACTGGGAAAACCATGGCCTTCACTATATGCACTTTTGTTGGCAGGGTGCTTCTTTTTAGTATGCTGTCTAGATTTGCCATAGCTTTCCTCCCTAGGAGCAAGCGTCTTTTAATTTCTTGGCTGCAGTCCCCATCTGAGGTTATCTTGGAGCCCAGGAAAATAAAATCTGTCACTACCTTCATTTCTTCCCCATCTATTTGCCAGGAATTGAGAGGGCCGGATGCCATGATTTTGGTTTTCTTAATATTGAGTTTCAAGCCAACTTTTGCACTCTCCTTCTTCACCCGCATCAAGAGGCTCTTTAGTTCCTCTTCACTTTCTGCTATTAGAGTGGTATCATCTGCATATCTTAGGTTGTTGATATTTCTCCCGGCAATCTTAATTCCAACTTTTGATTCATCTAGCCCTGCCTTTCTCATGATGTGCTCTGCATATAAGTTAAATAGGCAGGGCGACAGTATACAGCCTTGCCAGACTCCTTTCCCAATTTTGAACCAATCAGTGGTTCCATGTCCAGTTCCCACTGTTGCTTCTTGACCTGCATATAGGTTTCTCAAGAGACAAATAAGATGGTCTGGTACTCCCATCTCTTTAAGAACTTGCCACAATTTGTTGTGATCCACACAATCAAAGGCTTTAGCATAATCAATGAAGCAGAAGTAGATGTTTTTCTGGAACTCCCTAGCTTTCTCCATGATCAAGCGTATGTTGGCAATTTGATCTCTAGTTCCTCTGCCTCTTTGAAATCCTGCCTGTACTTCTGGTAGTTCTCTATCCATATACTGCTGGAGTCTGGCTTGTAGGATTTTAAGCATAACTTTACTAGCATGTGAAATGAGTGCAATGGTGCAATAGTTTGAACATTCTTTGGCATTGCCTTTCTTTGGAATTGGAATGTAAACTGACCTTTTTCAATCCTGTGGCCACTGTTGAGTTTTCCAAATTTGCTGGCAAATTGAGTGTAGCACTTTTACTGCATCGTCTTTTAAGATTTTGAATAGCTCAGCTGGAATACTGTCACCTCCACTAGCTTTGTTGTTGCTCAGATTTTCTAAGGCCCATTTCACTTCACATTCTAAAATGTCTGGCTCGAGGTCAGTGACCACCCCATCGTGGTTATCTGGGATGTTAAGCTTGTTCTTGTATAGTTTTTCTGTGTAGTTTTGCCACCTCTTCTTAATCTCTTCTGCCTCTGTTAGGTCCCTGCCGTTATGGTCCTTTATCATGCCCATCTTTGCATGAAACATTCCCTTCATATCTCCAATTTTCTTGAAGAGATCTCTGGTCCTTCCTATTCTGTTGTTTTCTTCTATTTCTTTGCACTGTTCATTTAAGAAGGTATTCTTATCTCTTCTAGCTATTCTCTGGAATTCTGAATTCAATTGGGTGTATCTTTCTCTTTCTCCTTTGCCTTTTGCTTCCCTTCTTTCTTCAGCTATTTGCAAAGCTTCCTCAGACAGCCATTTTGCTTTCTTGCATTTCTTTTTCTTTGGGATGGTTTTAGTTGCTACCTCTTGTACAATGTTGCGAACCTCCGTCCATAGTTCTTCAGGCACTCTGTCTATCAGATCTAATTCCTTAAATCTGTTTGTCACCTCTATTCATATTCATCAGGAATATGATTTAGTTCATACCTGAGTGGCCTAGTGCTTTTCCCTACTTTATTCAATTTAAGCCTAAATTTTGCAATGAGAAGCTCATGATCTGAGCCACAGTCAGCTCCTGATCTTGTTTTTACTGACTGTATAGAGCTTCTCCATCTTTGGCTGCAGAGCACACAATCAATCTGATTTCTGTGTTGACCGTCTGGTGATGTCCATGTGTAGAGCCATCTCTTGGGTTGTTGGAAAAGAGTGTTTGTTATGACCATCATATTCTCTTGACAAAATTCTATCAGCCTGTGCCCTGCTTCATTTTGTACTCCAAGGCCAAACTTGCCTATTATCCCGGTTATCTTTTGGCTTCCTACTTTAGCATTCCAATCCCCCATGATGATAAGGACATCATTTTTGGTGTTAATTCTATAAGGTGCTGTAGGGCTTCATAGAACCAGTCAATTTCATCCTCTTCAGCACCAGTGGTTGGGGCATAGATTTGGACTACTGTGATATTGAATGGTTTGCCTTGGATTCGAACTGGGATCATTCTGTAATTTTGGGGATTGTATCCCAGTATTGCTTTTCCTATTCTTTTATTGACTATGAAGGCTACTCCATTTTTTCTGAGGGATTCTTGCCCACAGTAGTATACCTGATGGTCCTCTGAGTTAAATTCACCCATTCCTGTCCATTTTAGCTGATTCCTAAGATGTCGAAGTTCAGTCTTGTCATCTCTTGTTTGACTACGTCTAGCTTGCCTTGATTCATGGATCTTACATTCCAGGTTCCTATGGAGAAAAGATCTTTACAGCATCGGACTTTCCTTTCACCACCAGATATATCCACAGCTGAGCATCCTTTTGGCTTTGGCCCAGTCGCTTCATTCTTTCTGGCACTACTAGTACTAGCCCTCTGCTCTTCCTCAGTAGCATATTGGACACCTTCTGACCTGAGGGGCTCATCTTCCAGCGTCATATCTTTTTGCCTTTTAGTACTGTCCATGGGGTTTTCATGGCAAAGATACTGGAATAGTTTGCCATTTCCTTCTCCAGTGGATCACATTTTGTCAGAATTCTCTGCTATGACCTGTCCGTCTTGGATGGCCCTGCACGGCATAGCTCATAGCTTCATTGTGTTATGCAAGCCCCTTCGCCACAACAAGGCAGTAATCCATAAAGGGGCATCTCATTTTACCTCCTGTATTTATATTTCACAAAGAATCAATATTGAATAAAATCTACACTTAAATTTTACACTCAAAAATCTATGAAAGTTCTCCATTCTGAAGTTGTCAAGCACAAACTCTATAATTTTTGAGAATCATTTAAGTGACTTCTGAATGATAAAATTTATGTTTGATCAGATGCCTTTGGACTGGAACTATCAACTCTCATCACTGGCCATGCTAGCTAATGATTATCACTGCTCTTTCAGACAAAATATTTTTTTAAATAATTGAATTATCTCAGATATAACAAAATTCAATTGAATATGAAATGTTTGGATTTGAGACTTATATTTGAAGGATCTTTTCTCAAGTAAAAGTACTTAGAGTATATATAGGCTTTTGAATTTGAGGATATTTTCACAAATATTCAGTCCCTTGTTCAGTTTATTAATCATTTATTTCCCCTTCCATCTAGCTCTTCCGTTTTCTGAAACAAGTGTCTTTTAATAATACCATAGGAGACAAAGTTTCTTTTGACCAGTATGGTATGTTTCTAACAGCATTTGATGTCATGAACTGGGTTTTGTCTCCAAACAACTCTTTTACTAGAGTAAAAGTTGGAATGATCAAGTCTCAACATCAAGGACATCAAAAAGTCATTATGAATGAAAAACCCATTGTATGGCACTATTGGTTTAACCAGGTAGGATATAAATACCAACCTTTGAGAAGTCACCCTACAGTATAATTGATAAAGGGCTGAGCCACCTCCTCCTCCTCCTTCTCCTCCACCTCCACCACCACCACCTCCTCCTCCTTTTTCTTTTTCTTTTTCTTTTTCTTTATCTTTTTTCTTTTACTTTTTCTTTTTCTTTTTCTTTTTCTTTTTTTTCTTTTTCTTTTTCTCCTGCTTGAGCAAGGGGTTGGACTAGAAGATCTCCAAGGCCCTTTCCAGCTCTATTCTGATTGAATCGATTGAGGCATACTTGTGGTATATTTGCCTGATCCCTTCAGACTCCTCTAATCATTCCTGTCTGAACTCCTGCAAAAGACATCTGGCAAGCCAAATCTAGGAAATTGTTAAGTGTCTCTTTGTCCAAAAGACTTGATCCCAGGCACTTCAGGCCTATTGTAGTAGCTTGTTTACATGTCTGCCTCTCTGAGGTCATTACCTTTGGCTTTACAAATTGGACAGTGAAAGTGATCAGAATAATGCTTATTACCTGTTTTAGACTGATATAGGCCCATTCCAAATCTCTAGTCTGAACATTACTGCATACTGCCATTTTAATGTTTTTCTAAAACTTGTTTGAAAGCAAGAAAAGTTTGTCTAGCAGAAGAGAGAAATGGGGCTAGAATGCTCAGGTAATAGGATGGGAGTTCAAGACTGAAATAAATACTGGACATACAANAGCAATGGATCATCTCTCAAGGAAAGAATAGTTTTGATGGAAAATCTCTCTATTTCCTCACTCATAGACCCTTGATTAACATTTATCAATTTTACAATTTCACTATAAGACATTGGTATAACTAAAGCTAAACTTCTCTTTTCCAGATATGCCTGATTGTGTTGAGTGCGAAGATGAACTTTATCCAAACAAATATCAGAATATCTGCATCCCCAAAATTGTAACCTTTTTATCCTATAAAGAACCTATGGGGATGGGTTTAGCAACCGCAGCTCTTTTCCTTGCTCTGATCACTGCTATTTTGCTAAAGACATTTGTACTATATCGCAATACTCCCATTGTCAAAGCCAATAACCGAGACCTCACTTTCACTCTTCTCATCTCTCTTCTGCTCTGCTTCCTTTCTACATTGCTTTTTATTGGGCAACCTCAGAAAGTGATATGTGTCCTGCAGCAATCAGTTTTTGGCATTGTCTTTTCAGTGGCTGTTTCTTCAGTATTGGCCAAAACCATCACTGTGGTTTTGGCATTCATGGCTACCCAACCAGGGACAAAGAGGACTAGATGGATGGGGAAAGGGCTGGCCAGTTCCATTGTTATTTCTTGTTCTCTTATTCAAGTAGGCATTTGTACCGTGTGGCTTTCAACTAGTCCCCCGTTTCCAGATGCTAATATGCACTCAGGGATGGGTGAAATTACCCTGCAATGTAATGAGGCATCCCCTATCATGTTTTACAGTGTCATTGGGTACATGGGTTCTTTAGCCATTGCCAGCTTCATAGTAGCTTTTTTTGCCAGGAATTTACCTGATACTTTCAATGAAGCCAAATTCATCACTTTCAGCATGTTAGTGTTCTGCAGTGTATGGTTATCATTTGTTCCAACCTACCTGAGCACCAAAGGAAAATACATGGTTGCTGTGGAGATTTTCTCTATTTTAGCTTCCAGTGCTGGATTGCTGAGTTTCATATTTTTCCCCAAATGGTACATTATTGTTGTCAGGCCTGAACTGAACAACCGAGAGCAACTTAAATGGAGAAACCACTGAAGAAGCTAGAAAGCTGTCTCAGCCAGCCACATCTATTACATACATTTTATACAACATGACATATAATACTACTTTTAAAAATATTAATCAGGATAATGTAATGGAGTATATAAATATGATTGTGCAACAATAGTTAAAATTTTCAGAAAGTAATATTTTGAACAATATGCCTAGTACATGTATTTTGACACCCAGACAACATAAATGGATTCTCTGTGCTCTTACTATGGACAAAAACTGATATTGCATCATTGGAAAGATAAGTATATGACTCCATTTACTCAATGGATAGAACATCTCACTGCACTTGCCATTTATGAGGGAACTGGATTTAAATCTTTAGACAGATGATTTTAATGAAATATGGGACTCATGTTGATGAAATATTGTAGGTTAAATATGATAGTCATACAAATGTATTAGAAAGTTATACATATTTGAATACTATTTGCATTAAAGAAGTATATATAATATTCTAATTATTTATAGTTATAATTACATTTCATACAATTTTTCCTTTGTTATATTTCTTTCACATTCTATGTCATTTTTTCTCTTCTAATTGACACTTATATATCTCCTTCATTATTATCTTTGGTTTCTCCTTCTTTTTCTTTTTTTGTTATTAATTTAAAAACAATAAAATTAAATAAACAGAAATAGAAAAGAAGCAGACAAATAAAATCAAATCAATATTCCCATATTTCATCAGCTCTCCTCAGTGAATACAACTGAAGCTACTGTTACAGAATATTTTTCTTACTGTCATAGGCTCACATGCAGAATATACCCAATTCAAAATTCACAAGAATTTGAAACAAATATTTTTCTTTCCCTGAATTAGCTGATTCTGAACCAGTACTGTTCTGTACAAAATTTCTTGTGTTATAAAAATTATTTCAATGAGAAGAGCTAAGAGAAAACAATACACAGTAAAGGAAAAGCTTGGAAAGTAAAATGAGGCTATTAGTATCTGACCAAGAAGTGAAAATTTAGGCATTGGCCAAGCCCTAGAATAATATGAAGCCCAGCAGGAAAAAAAATGGCAGTGAAATATAGAACTCATTTATACAATATACTGTGGATTAACACACAAACAAAAATGGTAATCATTAAATATATTAGAAAAATATACATACTTGAATAATATTTGCACTGTTATTACCTTTGTGCTTTGTTCTTTTTTTGTCATCATTCAGAAAGCATAAAAATAAATAAATAAAAATAAAAATAGCTTTAGAAAAAACTAAATAAATAATAAACAAAAACCTTTTCCTGCATTTTCTCAGTTGTTTCTCAAGAAAGTGTTGAAGCTACTTTTACAGAAAGTCTTTCTTGCTGGCATAATGGTTATAATACTGGACTCACATGCAGAGTGCATCTAATTCAAAACTCAGTAGAAACTTGAAACTAAGTATTTTTCCTTCCATGTATTAACCATGTTATAACAGTTATTTCAAGAAGAAGAACCAAGAAAAGAAGAAATAGGAAAGTACAGGAGACTGTATTTAAAAAAAAAGCTTAGAAAATGAGGTGAGGGACATTAGTGCCTCACCAAAATAGCCAGACTAAAGACTGTGGCCTAGAAGAAAGTGAAGCTAGCAGGGGAAAAAGTCATGATGCGATACCTACCATAAGCAAACAAACAAACAAACCCACAAATCCACAAAATATTACTTTGAAGGTAGAACAGGAAAAAGTGCCAGGATATCACTAGGGTGATATGGAGGGTGACATCATCTGTTTCTACCCTCTAAAAATGGTTGCTGGTCCATATTGCAGATTAGCCAAATGGCTTTGTGGATAAACTGTCTGATTTAAAAATTTTCAAGTTGTCGCCTTCCTGA